ACTACATATATTGTTAATTTGCAGGGGCACAGCATGATAAAGAAACTGAATAAGTCTATTATTGATGGGGTCAACTATTCTCTGCATTCTAGTCTTTTATATCTCATGCATGCATTGTTGTCTATATTTATCAACTATTCTTTTGTATTGGTAATAACAAGGAATAAATCAAGCTCTTCTTTACTCGTTCACTTTCCCTGTCTTCTCATGTCTTCCCCATTTCATAATTGACGAGCAATTGAATTGACGGGCTAGCGAACATGAGTTACCGAATTGACTGATGCTATGGTTGGGATGTCAAGTTGATTTGTCCGTCCTCCCGATTGGTCAAGCTGACTTTTGAATAGATCTGAATTGATTCTAATATGAATTGGGATTGAATTATCATATATTTGGGTATACATATACCAACATGTATTTGATTATCCAAGTATTGATTATAATGTAGCATTTGTTATAGCGCTCCATATCCCAAATCCTCATACAACTAAGCAATCATGGAGAGAGCTGAGCGGTTTTTTTGGGTTCCTCTAGGTTTCCTCTCTGCTAAACTCTCTCCTTATCAAATCTCTTTCTCTAGTCTAACTCACAACATTGATTTTTATTTTCCTATTTTAAGAGATCGTCTTTATGATTGTCTTTTAGATTTGAGATATTTCATGGATTCACACATGCCACAAAATCCTTATGTTTTTACATATCTAACACCTAAAATTTCATCTTTGTTTACATAACAATTTATTTAAATATGAAAAATGCATGCTTACCCATAAATTTATTACACCAAAATGTTATGAATGTGAAAATAATATGTTAAATTTTAGATATGGAAATATGTAAACCCCTAATTTCTTATAATTCTCAGACAAATTAAGAAATGTGATGATGATCTTTACTTCTCTTTTTTTATATTGTAACCGGTGATTTGGTGGCACTTTATAGTGTAAATTAGAAGATGCAAAAATTTACTTCTATATAGATCCTGTGTTACACATCTATTGCGTATTAAATGATATAATTTATTGTCGTATGCAAGGTGTATTAGGCTGGCCCTTGTCATTCTCAATTATTATGTACTAACATGTCTATCACCTAAGCTTTATTATTTACATATAGGTTACCTGACCACTGCATGAAAATATGTTTTTTTTTTATATATAAGTTAAGAGATTGGTATTTTTGATGTGATATGAAAATTTTGGATGGTATAAAATACATAAGGATAGGGTGGTATGTATGTAAATGGCATTTTATTTATCTATAATATTTAATATATAAATATTTATTTATTTATATATTTAATTTAAAGAAATAACAGATGACATTAATTAAAAAAAACATGTTCCTCATTCAACATCTGTAAAATGAGAAAATATTATTTCTGATAAACCAACGTGATGCAATCAATACCATCGTTGATATTGTTTTTTATGATAAAGAGGACGAATAATTAAAGGAAAAAAAAATTTACTGCCAAACTGATTCAGAATCCATATTTATACAAATCAGGAATCAAAGAGATATTTGTTTCCATCATTCCATGATGGATTAAAAAAACAAAATAGCCAAAACATCAATTAATTAAAATAAAAAAAAAAAGACTCACCCAAGTGATAAGATTACGCTAAAAGAGCACCGTGGCGTAATTAATGAGATATTTCGGCTACTGAAGCTATTACATCGTTCTTTAGTGCCTGTCATCCAAAATTATCATTGAGATAATCATATGAAATTTTATTAAAAAAAATATTTGAATATTTGCATTGCAATTGATTGAATATAATACGAGGTATACAAAAAAATACGTCAGTATGAATCTCAAAGAAAACAAACGACTCGGGAGGGAGGAATGAACGATCAGAAACGCATGATAATGGACGACGGATTGGATAATGTAAAGGAAGATGTCTGGAAAGGGATTACCCATAGGATGACATTCGACTCTCTGGCCAATCGGCTAATGGCTCAACCTCATATCAAGTATCGACGGAGTCAAGGCGGGGCTAAGCGTCCGATGAATCTCTTACCAATCGAATCAATCCATCATTGTTATTATATGCAAACATCTGTGTAATTAATAAATGATCATTCCAAAGGCTAATAATTAGGGGAGTGATTTTTGATTTTGTAACACTACCATATATATATTTCTATAAATATAGGACCCATATCATGAATAATCAGCTACGTATTATTATTATTATTCTCCACATGCTGTTGCGACGATCTATATATATACACCAGTTGATGTGATATATATATAAATCAAACAGGAGAACGATCGACAAAGCGAAAAATAAAATGAAAAAAATCACACCAGAAAACAGTAACACCACGAGAACACACAGATTTACGTGATTCGGCAAATTACCTACGTCCACAGAGTTGCAACGTCCACGGAGTTGCAAAAGATTTTACTACTTGATGAATTTACATCAGTCCATCACCTCGACTTATAAAAGGAATCTTTCACTCTCACTTCGTTGCTCTCTCTTCTTCTCTCTCTACACTGAGATACACTGAAGAAACTTTACACCGAAATATACCGAAGAAGACAAACTTATAAGAGAAATAAACACAATTTCTCTTCTGACACAAGTCACCAAGAAGAAGCCAATGAAGAACAATTTTTTTCTTCTTTCTTCTTCCTTCACTGCAAGGAACTACCTCTTGCACTTTCCTTCCTTCCATCCTGAGGAAGCCTTCCTCTATCTTGAAGAAAACCGAAGAAGAACACAGTGACTTCTAAAACCCAAAGAGAGTCATCCGAAGTCTTTTATCACGAACATGAGGGAACGAAGAGATGCTTCGCTTCACAAAAAAGGAAGGCATGAGTGGTTGGCGCCTACGATTTGCGACTGGACGCTTCACTTCACCGGGCTGCAGCGGAAGCGGGAGAGAGCGCTGATTCGCGAAAACGAAAGGAGAGGCGGGATAGTCGTGGCATTTCGCGACAGAGGGGCGGGAGATGGGAACTAAAGGCGGGAGCGCGGAAAAAACACCTTTTTATATTTATTTTTGTATTTGTGTTTAACCGGGCTCCATCCACAACACCACTGTATTCTCTTTTTTACTTTCTCTGCACATTTGGCATGTTTCTCACATATTTTTAGATTAACATATATAGAGCATTCATCAAATTGAAAATTTTATCATTCTGCTTTTCCTTTAAAAGTTATGTCATTCTTCATGTTTTTCTTTTTACTTAATTTATTAAATTTACTTAATTTATTAATTTATTTAATTTATTAAGTATCAGAAATTATCATAATGTAAATTTACTTAATTTATTAAATTTACATATATAGCACAAATTATCATAATAAATTTGATGTGTGTCAGAAAATTTACGGTAGTAAAGTAATGAATTATTGTTTAATGTTGCACAAGAATTCAACACGCACAGATAACAGAAAAGAAGTAACCAGGAAGAGACACCTCAACTTTTTACATGGAAAACCACCCTCGGAAGGGGGAAAAATCACGGGTCTAGCCCATTTGAAATAATCCACTAGGAATGATGAGCACACAAGTTCATTCTTCCCGTAAATTAGGGAATATAGAATTACAAAGTTGCATAATTATAATCTGACTGCAGTTCTTGGGGACAACAATTTGCAAGGGTCTTTGCTGATTTTTGTGAAGGTAGTATGCCGTTGTGAGTGTGGTGGATGGTTGCTCCAGAAGCATTGATTGACCAGAGAAGTTATAGTGAGCAGTTGCGGGAACAATTAATCACTTAGATTGTAAGTATTAACAACATTCGTAAGTCACGGAGGCCAGAGTCGGGAGCTGTATAAGCTGATGACCACGTAGGTCGTTGGGGCTAATATTAATGACGTTAATAGGCCGCTGTGGCCGGATTCAAGAATTGTATGTGCTGATGGCAACGTAGGTCGTTATTGGCATATGAATCGTAATGGTGAGTGGTGGTGATGTCCATAGACAGTTGGGACCGGAGTTGCGAGCTGCATGAGCTGTTGACCACATTGGTCATAGTTGGCATATGAACAACAGTGGTGAGCTCTTGTCTGACAGATGGGAGAGGGTTGCTAAATTTTCCAAATTACGATGTTGACTGACAGTGTCTGGTCCGCGGTGGTTGATGATCGGCGATGGCGGACGATGGTCGATAATGGTGGACGACGATCAACGTTGGTCAACGACAATCAGCATTGGCGGGGTTTGACGATGGTCAGCAGTGCGACAGCGGTCTACGGCGGTCGGCGGTGGTGCTAGACTTCACCTCATTCTCAAAGCCTCAAGTTCTCTCACAATGCTTCTGCCCTCTCATAAGAGAGGCAGGTGTCTATTTATAGTATATGTGTGTCATTAATACAAAAATATGAACCATTTTGATCGGACTATCTAGAGAGCTTACTCCGATTATACGGTGTTTAATGGATATTTGAGTGCCTTAACAATGTCGAAATTGAGCAGTTTTGGGCTTGTTTGATTCGTCTTGTCGAGACATTTAATTTGACTATAAACTTGTCAGCTTTGACATCCGTTTGACATTCCCAATATGTTCGGAGATCTTACAAAAGTGGTTTAATGATCTGATCTGAGTCTAATTTGACTCGGATTGGATTAACTTTGATATCATTAGGTTCGTCTCATCGAACAGATGAGTTTGACTATAAATTTGCTGAAATCAGAGCTCTGAATAACTTTTAATTGAAGTTTGAATATTTTTTATTGACGATATTGCCTCGTAACTCGTGTGAAAATTTATTGTTGACGTATCAAAATTAATAATGCATTATGTGCTGATACATTATAAAAATTGCATAAATTCAAAGAGAATGAACTAGGGCTTAATTTATTATAAAAGATAAAAGAATGGGCTAGGCCCATCACGAATTCTAGCCAATCATTGCTGAAACAATTTTATCGTGCAAATTTCCTGAGAGAGAGAGATAGAGGACGTACGCAAGTGCTATTGCCGCCACCGCGGCCGCCGCTGCCGCCGCCGCGGCAG